TAGGACTGTAATAACGGGGACAATGGTCCGCGACTGCCCCGCGCGGCGAATCGATTTCACAAAAAATCCTACTGCTCGTGTCCCTTTTCCACGCGCAATTGAGTTGAAGTTGTCTAGGGTGGGCCTGTTATTAGGCCATTAGGTAAGACGGTGACTTGGCTCTTAAGCCTCTAGGTTTAGATGGAGTCAGCTATTTTGAAAGTCCAATCCATGCTAATCTTCAGTGCAACCATCCTTCTTAAAAATTGGGAAAAACAAGAGTAGTCATTTTAAGGATTTTCTTTCGCAGATGTAAAATTGAAAGAAAAATCATAAATTTATATATTACAGGTTAATTTAACCAATGAAAGTGATTCGTTTCACCCCATTCAGACAGATCATTTCTCTTTTCACCTAACCCTGAAGCTTCGTAGCTTAAAGCTCATAGCAAAAAAAATACATTTCCGATTCATTTTTTCACTTCCATGTTAGTTACAGTACAGTAAAGAAACCTCTCTAATTGACCGATCAGAATTCTTTGAATTGGCATAACTAGGAGCTTTTTACCAAACACATTTACTGAGTAAACAGGCACTTGTTTCGTGGTCATTGAACATTGAAACCCTGGGTAACCAAGAAAGAAACCTGTACATTAAAAACACAAGAATCCCATCCCTAGAACAGAAGGTTCTTAGTCAGTCGGAACGCTAGTTGAACTTAAATGTTCAGTAATCAAGCCATTCAAAAAATTAAACCCAAATTATTTTCATGAAAATGGGCTTTAGAACTGTTCCATTACTCATAACAGCCTCAACTCTCTTAGGTATCCGTAAACTGCGACAACAGGAATTGCTGTTTCAGGAAAAAAGGGAAGGGAAAATTGAAAAAAAGTGCCTATGTACTTTCAAACTGTACTTTTCCCGGTCCCGGTTTTTCAAAACTTCTGGGAATCATTCTTTCAAAGTCTGTTGGAACATAAAAGCTTTCTATACTAGAAACCACCATAGTCGAGTAGTACAAACTCAGTTTGTCCTGCCCACCTTGGTCTACCCATTCCCTCTCACGGAAAGAACCACCTGAAGAAGACCCTTTTCTTACTGCTACTCACTGTAACAGAAGCCTTTTTACCATTACAGATGAAATTGTTACAGAAGGTGTTGTCGCCGGTGTTGAACGATATATACCTCAACACTGACCAAACTCTCTGAATTCGTCCTCAGGGAAAAAGTAGGCGGTAGCGCCCAAATGGGTGTGATGCACGGGTCGAATGTGGACATAGATATACATATACTGGAAAGAAAAGAATCCAACAAGCAATAGGAGTTAACGAACACCATGTTAGCATGAAGAGCGATAGCATAAGGACAACGTTTGGGAAATAAAGTTAAAAAGTACAGGGGTAACTGCCGTTAGTATCGCAGTACTACGAGCCGTGCAATACCGCTGAGGTGTCACCCCAGTGCTCATATGTATGACTAACCGCTATGGAAACTTAAATTCCTTTCCGATTCCCGTTTGCCTGTAGCGGTAAATTTTTCACATTTCCTTGAAGCCCAGGTAAGTGCATTTCCAAAGTTCTCAGGGACATTCTGGGAAGGTTCGAACTCTTCGTCGTGGATTCGGATTCGTCGCCAGGGCGGATTAAATTGAGCTCTTCAAAGGGTATATTTCGTTGAGTGCTCGGAAATGAGTTCAGACCACGGAAAAAGGACGATTACTTCAGAACTCAAGCTCCTAATTGAATCGCAGTGCCCAAAACTTTCAAGAGTCCAAAACACCGATTAACAGTATACTGTACAAAAAAGTACAGAGGAACTGGGCTTATTTTGGTAGTTGAACCCGACTGAGATCACCTCACCGTCAACACCCCCTGAGGAGGTGGTGTATTGGCGAGTGGCACACTATCATACAATCATGGTCCAGTGTATCGAATCGCGGATCGATACTCGCCCAAGCCAAACAAGTTTTCCCACACCTCCAGTGTCAATTAATCGGTATGAGAAGAGAAGCACTGCCTTTTACATCCACTAGCTACCTCAAGTAACTTTATAGGCCACATATGCAATCGATCACTGTGATTCTAAATGGAAGCCGAGTGCACGGCACATACCAGAAACCAGGATTCATTTGGTCCAGAGGACTTCACTTTCCCTGATCGATTATAACTCTCTGCTCTATGATCAAAGGAGAACAAACTGACCTGTTAGCATTCTACCATGCAAAACTCAATTCATTAGTGGCTTCTTCATCCACACGTACCACGTCAAGCGTTACTACGTAGTAGACAGTGAAAGCAAACAAATCGTCAGAGCATTTCTCCTTTAATGATGTCAACATTGCTCATTTGCTACATGATCTCTGAGGGGAACGATGGAATCGATCCCACAAATTGTGCAAATAACTAGTTAAAAGTCAATTTACCTACTTTGTCTGATTTGCCTTTTCAAACTTGAAAGAAAATCTCAACGGTTTCAAAAACTATTGAAATTGTTATGAGGAAGTGTCAGACTGTTCAGATAAAGGCATTCATTAGCCTTGTTGAAACACATTAGTGAAAAAGATTTTTTTTTGTAGAAAAATTCCTTCATTACATTCAAGTAATATGATGTCATGTCTCAGTACATTCAAGCCCATAATTTATTATCAACAAAATGATCACGGGGTCTTCAGAAGCAGTAGCTCAGCACATATATATCCGTGTACGCGTTCATTTTCCATGATTAAGCATCATAGGCTTGAATTGAGCGCTTACCGAGTGCCTGGCCGGCTAAGCTGTCAAAATACCTGAAACAAATTTATCGATTCATGAGACAGTTACAGAAAATTTCGTGAAATTAGCAAAATCCTTATTTTACAATTTCAGCTACCTACGAACTCAACAAAGAAGCAAGCTGCTGCATACTGCTGTATTTCTTCGCGCGCGGCGTCCCTTTGTCCGCGACACGACAGTTTCGTTCCTGTTGCACCACACCCTCTTACTACATATTACTGTTATATAGCTGAGTAAACAACGTATTCAGCTAAGTTTCAAATTTAATTTTTGAAGTAATACTCGCTGTAAAATGACCGAAAAGATACGAGCTAAGGTTACCGTAGTCCCATGGCCAATTTGTGTGTAATGAACTACCTGTAAAAAGTAAACTGTCAACAGCTGTCAACAAGAATTACTCACTGATTTTTATCGAAATTCTTGGTACTACGTAACAGAAGAGGTGTGACTGGGAGAAAATTCCTATATGGAATCGCCGTTTCATGATGATAATGGAAATACTACTGGGCTGATGGGAGAAGCCGGTGCCCTTGTGTAACTAACAGCCATTCACGTCCAGTTCAGCATTAATCTAGCTCAGTTATACATAGCTGGTTAAAAAAAAGATTAAATCGCCAGAAAATTAATGATTTATTGCCCATATAATGGGAAAGATTTGTGGCTTATAAGCTCGTATTCTACGAAGTTTCCTGAGTCGTTCCCTCTTTTTACGTATGGAGGATTGGTAAATTCTGCATGACATACCGCTGTGATTACGGTAATTTTATTCAAAAATATTCGATTTATGTAATTAATACCGAGGATGGAGCAAAAGAAAACTTAGTAAACCTTTTGTCAAGATGGTAGTAAGGCTGGTATCGTGACGATCTCTTTCCGAATGAGTCCAAAAATGGATTCACTGCCCTTTTGCCCATTGAGTCGAGGAATGGATTAATCGCTCTTTTTGCACGCTAAAAGGTATTATACTAGTTTTTGACCACTTTTAATAAAGCAAGAGTAAATAGTCTTCAATTAACTTACGGTGTCAGAATAGGCACTGAATAAAAGTGTGACGAAGACCAGCAACGAGAAAACCATTCCTTTCAGCATGGCTGAACCGTTTTTACTGAAAATATCGGTTTACTGACGTCATTTCATTTTTAAATTTTCATTAGCGAGCGGACCGAAAAACATTTTAATTACAAATTACAACAATCGCAAGGAAATGTTGATCTTTTCGATCCGTGTTCTCTCATGAGTTGACAAAGCAGAATCGGGAGAAAATCTCCGGTTTTAGCAGCAATTGGGTAAAAATTGTTGGTAAAAAGAAATGATAGAAGAAAGTAACGCGTCTCGTAGTAGGCAGAGCTACAACAAAACAAGAACTAGGTTGTACGTAGACTTGGGGGTATCACATTTCAGAAGCGACGAGGACGAGGAGGTGTTTGAGGCGGAGATCCTAGCCATTCTAATGATGCATATTCTTTCATTATGGCTCTATATAAAACTGAATTCAAATGAGACCATCAGTCTACGTACGCACGAGTTATTCTCTATAACAGCGCGATAAATAAACCTTATTGAATAGGGCTTAGGTATGTTGATTGAGGGACCGATGATCATATCTAACGAGTCTCAATTCTTCTCTCCATCCATTTGGTTTCTTGTTATTTCAACTAACTAGTTTACTACTCGAAAGTTAAACTTTTCAAATATTGTTGTTACGAGGCCGGAAATCCCTCAAGTGATTATGACAGGAACAAGGCCGACTAAAAGTACGACATCTAATATTTTCCTCTTAAGGACAAGCAGTTCATGTGTTTTTCTTCATCTATGATATCGCTAAAGTATACTAGTAATATCTACATAGTATAATGTACTGGTACAACAATTAAATGAAGACCATAAACAACTATTTGATGTTCATGAAATAGTACAAAATATTTATAGAAAATACCTATAGCATTCAACTAGCACTGCATAATACCCGGGAAGGAAGGAGGAAAGAGTAATCATTAACGGGTAATACTACTTCTACTTTCTAGGGATGTTAAGTAACCCCTTGCCCCTGAGCTTTCTTAGCAAAACGACTTTCCCTCCTAGCCAATTAGTTGGTAACCTTGCATAAGGTAGTAAGAAAGCAGCGTTGAACATTATCCTAAACCAAATTCTTTCGTGAAGTTGTTCCTATGACGTCGTAATTGTTACTTCTACTGCCTCCAGTTTAGCCGATGATAATTGTAGTCTTTTTGTTTTTCTAATCCTCCTAATCTCTTTATTAATTGAAACCCCTACTCCCATCCTGGCTTCGGAGCATTGTTCTAGTAACCCACAATCGAAATTCATAGGAATTTGTTCAGACTTCTAAGAAACAAAAAAACTTATTTCGGTTCAAAGTCACGGGACAGGGTTGAGAAAAACGTTACGGTGAAATGAGCGAAAATAAGACATTCGAATTCCCTCCAAATCTAGAAAGACTTTGAAGAAATGCTCTTTGCTTTCTGAGCTTCACTCTTACATCTTCCCAAAAATACTCTTTCTTGGAACTTTCTAATGAATTTGAAGCCATCAAGTAGGAGTTATCATGTTCTT